CCCCAAAACCCCAAAACCCCAAAACCCCAAAACCCCTAAAAAGGATACTAAAGTTGAACCTATTAGTTATGAATTAGGAGTCATCTGGCCAATCAGAAAAGTCTGATACTTCTGTTAAAATCTCATAATCTGAATTGTATAGATTGCCTGGAAAATTAGAAAGAAATTCTTACTTGGATCTGACATTTTTGTAGATTTAGGATATAGTTTTTCATCATCACTACCGATATATTCATTATGAGCATGGTGGCTGCTGATTGTATCAGGAATTTCTAAGTCAAGATCAAACTCTATAAGATAGGTCATAAAAATACCATCTTCCAGACTAGCAAGCTTATTGTATTCATTGTCAATTGATAAATCAGGAACAGCTGGATTGCTCTGAAGCTTTTTCTTGATTTTCTCAAATTCTATTGGAGTTTAGGAGAATAATACCTTTCACTCTTGACTCTTTTTGCTGTTTGTCTTCTTCAATAGGCTTTGAAGAGGCTATATCTGAAGCAAGGATCTGGTTCATCTTCTGTTTGTCAAGAGCTTTGAATTCTCTTGCTTTCTGAATTTCTTGCTCTGTTTTTGCTTGACGAGCAACTTCTGGCTCTTTTATCATTTTAGGCATCCTTTCTAAAACTTTTAGGAGAAACCTTACCTTTTCTGTCTACATAATCATTAGTTTGAACAGGAGTTGCATTTCGAGTATCGTCAAGCAGGTATGGTTCAGTGGTGCCGAATTCAGCAAGACGAACTGAGATGATATCCTTCATAGTCACATTCTCTCTGTAAAAGGACTCTTCTTCCTTTCTTGAGAGTTCAAAGTACCTCTTGGTAGATCTATCAAATCCGATAGGAACTCTTCCAATTGAGCCATCGAACCTGTTTTTACGGATGTCAATGTATCTGAATCTGTGTTTGTTTTGCATTATCATGATATTATCTGACTCTTGAGTTGCCTTTGCAGATCCGAACACACTTGCAATGGTGAGTTCGTCATCATCATCGACTTTCTTTGGATGAATTACGATCGTAATGTGAACATTTTTCTCTGTGGCAAATCTCCTGAGACCTGAAATGACACCATCTTGGATATCAAATTTTGAAGCACCTCTTCCTTGACCACTGATCATGAATTGGAGATTATCAAGGACGATATGGCCGATATCGTATGTGTAAACTGCATAATCGAGAGTATTGAATAGCACATCTAAGTCAGTTGATCCAAAGAATTTCATGAAGTATAGTGGTAGATCGCCCATCTCTTCAATGATGTCTTTCAGGTCATTCTTTGTCATTTTTGCAGTGTCATTCTTGCTATATTGCTGGATCATTGTCGATGCAAGAATTTCATTCTTTACTTCGAATGATCCCCAGAGTGTCGGAATTCCTCTTTCAAGGAAATCTAATGACAACTGAGATAGGAAAGTGGTCTTTCCAGATCCAGTAGGTCCTGTAAATATAGTTAATTCTCCCTTTCTGAACCCTTTTAGGATGTTGTTATACCATTTAAAGTATCCACTCTGAGTTCCTTTCATTTCTTCAAAGTAGAAAAGTCTTGAAATAATGTCTTCTGTCATATCTCTAATCCCAATGATGTTCTCTTCATTGAGAGATTTAGCTTTTCTAATACAACTCATGAGATCTCCTTCTCCGATCAAAGTCTCATTTGCATCTTTGAAGGATTGATCTCCATTCATTGGGGCTTTGACTATCAGAGTCCTACCCTTGCCAAGTTTTTGAGAGAATTTTTCAACAGCAGACTGGCCTGCTTCATCATTATCCAGCCACAAGTAAATTTTCTCGTATTTTTCTAGCCATGGGAGGATTACTGGAGGTAAAGAATGGGCTCCATTTGGGAGAGAAACTGCAGGCATTCCTGTAGCTTGATGGACAGCCATTGCATCAAACTCTCCTTCAGTGATGACAATGGCTTTAGCTTCTGCTGGAACTGTGTTAAGTCCGAAAAGGCCTGTGGCTGAAATTCCAGCAGGATTAAACCTCTGTTTGCTTTTATTGCTCAAAGCTCTTAACTTCAGCTTAATACATTGGTATTCAGGGTTATGGTTTATGATGTTTTCAGCGTTTGGCAAGGACTCTTCGTCATATCTTTTGTTTGGAACTGAATTCCTTGCTCTAGGGGTACTCCTCTTAGCATAAATTGGAAACACCATACATTCTTCGTAGTCATAGGTCCCATCTAACTGCCTGAATTTCTCTTGCTTACAGCCAACTCTGTAAAACTGAAGGGTTTCTTCGCTAAGGCCTCTCCCGCCATTATTTTTACGTGTAAGGTAATCTATCGAGTTGTTATTAGTATTGAACAGCTCCTGGTACGCATTGAGTGCATAATCAGGATCAAAGTTAGGATCCTGGTGATAGTTGGAATATGCGCTTGAAAGTGCTATAGTTCCTGAATTGTAATTCTCAACACTGATATTTCCTGTTACCAACCGCTTAAAGTCAAACCAGCTACCTTTGCTTCCACACCTGAAGCAATGGAAGACACCGATGTGCCTTTGAATATTGCAGGTAAACATGTTAGTAGGGTCGTGCTTATGGTCCTTTGGTCAAAGAGGGCAGAATTTAACCTTGACCTGATCCCCACTAATCTTGTACTCCATCCTTAAGGAGTTGAGCATTTGCTCCACTTCCCCAGGACGGAGTCTGAAATGACTTGAAGTGTATGCATCAGTGTCTGAAATTTTCAAGTTCCAGCTTTCCGAAAGTGGAACCGCTTTATGGCTCTGAGAAGGAGTGCTTAAATCTTTAAGTTCAAATGAGCTCCGTTTATTAATGATATTAAGAATTTTTGAACGATTTTTGATAGAAAAGCTTCGGATATTGCTCGTTGTTGGTTTAAAAGACCTACTCAGGGGCAATTGAGTTAGATTAATGGAGGAGCATCGTAGAGGAAGAGTTAGAGGGGTTACTTTGATTGCTCTGAGAAACATCATCTTAAATAATGTGTTTGGCTGAAAAATTATTATATTTCTATATCGAAAAGTACGATTGGGGTTTTGGGGTTTTGGGGTTTTGGGGTTTTGGGG